TGTACAAGGCCAAGCTGAGAACAGAATTTGGCTACAGCAACAAGGAAATCAAGGCCGATCCTGATCTCAAGGAGATGGAGACACGCTTGGCTGCCTTTGAAAAGCGCAGCTGACTCGTAGAAGCAACGGGCTGATAATTAACCAGCTCTTTGAGGGGTGGTGAGGCCACACCTAGCCCATGTTTATCATGAGTGCAGTCCTGCCCTGGCAGGACCATGTTCCTTGCGCTCTATGTTCAGTTTACAAGGTCACAAGTGTCCTTGACTCTGCCACTGTTTGAAAGAGGAAGCCGAGAAAAGTGCCTCACGCAACATTCAATTTTTTGGGTCCTGGCGTAGATGATGAGTCCTGCAGCTGTGCAAGCTTATAAGGATGGAGGTTGGAATCCCACTATTTTGAGGAAGTTTTTTTTGTGCTTTTGGTTTGTTTTGAAGGCACTGCCTCTTGTTTTCCGCTGCTTGCTCCTTTATCTGGTTCTGGTTGCTGCTTTTTGCTTCCTGTATTCTGCTTTTTGCTTCCCCTCTGCTCCTTTTAGCTTCCTCTTGTTTGTTGACTACACCTTGCTTCCGGCTCGCTGCTTTCAGCCTTTTTGCTGCTTGCTTCTTCCTTTCTGCTTCTTGTTTGCTGTAGTGTTTTTTTTGGACTTCTTTAGGGCTCACAGATTGCCTGAGCCTCTCGTATTCAGAATACAATCTGAGATGCCACCAACCAACACGCGCTCAGCAAACCTGCTAGTAGCGCGGAGGTCCTGTGGTAGATGGGGATGGATGCACCGCGACCCCGCCCCAACACAGCCTCCTAGCTTGGGCGTCTGCTTTTGCTGGCAGCGCCTGCTGAGTTGAAGTGGCAGTTTTCCGATTGAGAATACTACTGAGATGCAACAGAAAAACGAAGTCTCAGCAAAGCTGCCGCTGCCACTAGTGCAAAGCCGTGGATGCTTGCGGCAAGAAAAATGTCATCGCCATATATGAAGTAAGGCAAGGTCTTGCTGATCATTTTGTTTGCAAATAGGCAGCTGCGCCTTCCGCGCACCCCTCTCCAGCCCCCCCTCCCCTTCCCTAGACCTCCCCCCCTCCCCTCTCCCCCCTCTCCCCCCTTCCCCCCCCTCCCCCCGCGGTCCCCCCACTCCCCCCCTTCCCCGCCCCAAACCCGCCCGCCGCGAAAGCCATCCATGCTTACGGCGTGTCATCACCACGTTTGCAATGCAGGAACGTTGTGCGAGGATCATTTTGTTTGCAAATGGGGCGACTACCCCCCCCCCGCCAACTCATGCATGTTTCACAATGTTTGCAGTAGGAGGGTTGTGCTGATCATTTTGTTTGCAAGCGGGGGGACTGCGCCTCCGCAGCCCCCCTGCTTTTGTAAGGCCATGCATGCTTGCAATAAAACACAAGTATCATACCATATCATCACCATGTTTTCGGTAAGGGATAGTTGTGCCGACCTTGTTGTTTGCAAATGGGGGGCGCTCCCAACCCCCCCGCCTTTGTCGAAACCATCCATGTTTATGATTAACGAATCATGTCATCACCATGTTTTTACAATAGGGCAAGGTTGTGGGAGTCCTTTTTTGGCAAATGGGTGGGCTGCGCCCCCTACCCCGCTTTGTTGAAGCCATCAATGCTTACGGTATCAAGAACATCTTGTCGCCATGTTTGCAGTAAGAGAGGGTAAGGGGGGATTATGCGGATCATATAATGCTGCAACTCGCAGTGTCTACGTCTACGTTCTTTGCGAAGCTCCGAATGTTGTAATTTACAACATACATGGGCAACCCCCCCAAAAAGCAGAACTGGCGTGCTGTGATTTACAGTATTTGCCAGCTGTCATGAAAGAATTCCAAATGCTGTCATGTACAGTATCTGCGAACTCTAAGGAGCTTCAAACGCTGTCATCTGTCTGCAAGCTCTGGCTGAGCCCCAAATGCTGTAGTTTAAGTATAAGTTGATGTCTGCAGCCTCTGCGCGAGCCAAAACGTTGCAAATTGCACTACCCGTACTGAAGCAATCCACGAGGTTCAGAGGGTGCAAAAGCGACAACAGTTGCGAGGATGGCGAGGCCGACTCCCACAAACCTTGTGACTTTCGACGCTTTTCAAATTCCCAGAGGATCCAAGGGTCCAAAACCAACGACAGTTGCGAGGATTGCAAGCGATCCCCGCAATTCCTGTGACTGTTGACACTTTCCAAACCCCAAGAGGATCTCAGGGTGTAAAAGCGAGGACAATTACAAGGATCGCGACCCCGACTGAAATTTCAAACTCCAAGGGGATCGGAGGATCGAAAAGCGACGACAGTTGCGACGATCGTGACCCCGACACCCGCAATCCCTGTGACTGTTGAGGCTTTCAAAAGCCAACCTCACATCTGTAGTCAAAACTGAACATTGCCGGGCAAATTAAACAACAAATCCACAAGCAATTCCGCATTCCTTGAAGAGATTTTCAACGGGTCGCAGGGCTGCATGGTTTGGGGGGAACGCTTGAGCCATTAGTTGGTGCGGCCCTGTGCAGGATACTGCAAGTTGAAGATCTACAACCCAAAAATGGGCTTGATGCCGAGCTTCTTTCGAAAGTGGACTGGTTACCCCTGGCAACGGAACCTTATGTGTATAGGCTTCGTCGCTACAGTGATGCTACAGGTATGGACAGCTTGCAGGTGACGCCAATCTCACAGGCAAACGCCCCAACCTCAGCAAAGAAATCCTTCTGCATTTGCGCGTGCACTTTCTAGCTCCCGTCCGTGAACTTGCGCTGGGATCAAATCCAATCGTCCTTGCGTCACCTTCGCTAGAGGCCAACCAGCGCCGAGGGCGTGCAGGGCGAACTGGACCTGGCGCGTCAGCGTCAGAGAATTCCCAACACACATGCAACATGTCCCCACTAGGTGTCTCGCTTTCAAACGCTGAGGTGTTGGCGGTTGTACACAGAGAGTGCCTTCGTTTCTGAGATGCTGCAAATGACCATCCCGGAGATACAGCGTGCGGCGCTTGGACGGACCCGGCTGTGAAGCTCTCACTCAAACTTGAGGATGTCTGAAGTAGCCGGGTCATGCCGGGTCTGCAGAATATCAAGACTCAGGCACGAATCTTGCCAACGTAGTCCTGCTGCTGAAGTCCATGGGGGCACCAGCCTCAATCTTGAGTACCCTTGAGCCCTGGCATGGGCTACTGCATATGGTGCTTCGGGTCACCATGACCATGTCTTGGTTCACCATATATTTCGATTGAGCGTGAGATTTGCTGCCCCCAGCAAGCCAGCGGGATGAGCTTTTCATGGTTCTGTGCCTTTGAAAGTGGCAGCTTTGCACGCAACTGACAGTCTGCGCATCGAAGTTACGTCGCTACAGTAGACCATGAGAGGCGGATCGAAACCAGAATTTAATACTGAGATCAAAGATTTGCTGTCCTTCGGCTTCATGGACCCTCCGCCGCAGGAGGGATCAGATTTCAAAACTTGACCCGTTTCGAACCCGACAGCACAAGGCTTGCCTATGGCGTTTGGCGTATCTGTAGTCACCCTGCTGCCCACGACTGGTTCCTGCTTCTTTTGCTGTGTCTGTCAGCAAGGATCCACGGGATTGCCTTTGAGGGCAGATGTGCGGCCAGGACACCATCTTGAACTCTTTGTTTCAGCTTTGGATGCTCGGTGCGCTTGACAACCTCGGCGCCTGGGCCTTGCTCGAGACCTCTCAAGTTGCCAGAGCTGGTTTCATTGCCATTCCTGACCCGACTCCCACTGAGGACATTACCTCCCTCGGTAACAAGATGGCGCAGTTCCCTTTGGCTGGGGACTCGGATGTTTGATGCAAGGTCCGCGCGTTGCTTTCAGGAGGTGAGGCATTTACAGTAAAATACAGCATGAGCTTGGCTGACAGAGGATCCGCCCCTATCAAAGATGCTCATCGTGGGTGAGGAGCTAGGATGCAGCGAGGAGGCCGATTGACTTGTGGAACCGGACTTTGGCGGCATGTTCCTGGCGTGTTGACATGCACAGATCATGACCGTGGTGTCGATGCTCTCCGTTCCGTCGATCTTCTTCAGACCGAAGGCTGGCAGTCCCAGTGTTTGTTGGGCGGTCAGTTGCAGGGGATGTATGCGGAAGTGTCAGATGCAGGTTTGCCATGTCGTAGTTTCCGCATGCGAGCAGGAAGAAGACAAAGAATCTGAAGTTTGCACTGCCAGCAGCTTCAAGTGCTGTGCAGCCTGCAAGCAGGATCGTGCAGATGAAAGCGATGCAGCAAGGGAGAAGTTCTTCGTGCCTGAGAGCTGCGGGACCTAAATGTATGTGCTGCATGCATGATCTGTCACGACTAAAATACAAGAAGACGTTGTCTGAGGTGATCATCTGACATTCCTTAATGTGTACCAGCAGTGGGCCCACAATGGTTATAGCGCGGACCCTGGCTGCAAAGGAATCTCGGACGGGCTACCTCATGTAGAAAGCAGTAGCCGTACATTCGCGTGTCAGCGGTGGTTCGGAGAAAGCACTGGCACATGCCGACATTCTTCTTGCTAAGGCGCCAGATGGTGTGGCGACCACTTCGTTCACCAGAAGTCGCTGAAGAAAGTACGGGAAGTGCCACAGCTTCAGCTTTGTTTGATCATGTCTCTAGCCGTGCTTAGTGGAGACCTGACCATGGCACCGCTACACTTTGGTCAGTCCTGGGCTTTTTACATGTCGCTGTCTCAGGCGGGGACAGCTCGAAGAGATCATGTGCCCACCCAAGCTTTGTCTTTTTGGCTTGGAATGGCATATATACATCTATACGATGAAGTTACATCCTTCTACCTTCTGGCTTCTGACCGCTAGAGAAGCCTGAGCCCAGGCAGCAGCAGAGATTGCAGATCAATTCCATCGGTTGATGCCTGAGCATCTAACACCTAGATCTGTCACCATTTCCGTGGCTTGAGAGGTAGAAGTGGGGTATATGGGTAGATTGACAGCTTTGGCAACAGCTTGCAAGCAGTGGTGAACGCCAACTGTTAGGCACGGACTGGGACATCGTTCGCAAAGCTATTTGCGCTGGGTACTTCCACAACGCTAGCAAGCCGTCTCCTTGGAATGGCGTTTGCACAGGGAGCTTTTGAAGCAGTTGCTCAGTAGCAATCTTGTCTTGCCATGTATGCCTTCGAAGACACTGAGGCTGCGAGGCATTGGCGAGTACGTCAATCTCCGGCATTGAACCCAGAGTATGACGACCGAACTTCAATAGCGAATTCTCTAGGAATACGTGTTCAGACTATCAAGCAGTGTACCACAGTGTACCTTTTGCCAAGATGATCTGATATGATCTGCAACCAGCTGGAGGTAGAAATAAAGGGCACTCTGGAGTGCTGTCTGGTGTTGTGAATTCTGCCAAATTCCTTGGTGTCGTTGCCCTCCGAGGTCACGCATCCCTGCGAACTTGCATCCGACGAGCTCATTGTCCGACCCTTAGAGTCATTGAATGTAGTGCTAGCTTGTTGAATGAACAGTGGGGGGCTGAACAGTTGAACTTGTTCTCAGAATGCTGCTACATTCAGCACTGCAGGGTTTTGAACGACCCTACACCCTACGCGCCTTTCCTGCCATGCTTTTCGAATGGTGTGAATAATGAGGTATGGCTTGGGCTACACTCCTGACTATGTCGTCTACCACGAGGCGCGGACTTAAAGGATCTCAAAGGTAGCCTCCGATGAACATCAGGCACATACGTTCAAGGTGTTGATCATGCTGCGCATGCCGTGATTGTAGCACCCAGCTTTTAAGGCAGGCCTTACTCTTCGGTTGGGATACAGGGGTTGGTTTATGTCTGTTGCGAAAGTACAAGTCCGTGTCGTGGCGAAAAAATGTCCTTCAGGGGCAGTCACAAGTAAAATCCTGTCCTGTGTCAGTACACTGTCCTCTACGCCAACAGTGAAAATTTAGGCGGCGCACATATGACGAGGCATATGAGGAGATCTCGCAAGATCAGCAACACCTCATGAAGCAAAGCGCGTTTGATACGCTAGCGGCTAGCCTTTGCTGGAATATTGACGTGGGACTTTGCTCAGACACCGTTCTATCTGTTGTTTGTCAGCCTTGGCCGACGGCGTGTTCAAAGTAAGCAGCCATAACTGGCTCCAGTAATCAGGGAGGAAAACCCAAGGGTAGCGCAAGAGCACCATAAAAACACATTCACAAATTTGCAGCTGCCGCTTGTTTTCCTGCCCTACATTGCTGTGAGAGGATGTGATTTGACCTGCTTTTCAGGTCATGTACACGGTCAAGGAGTATATGCAGACGGTCACAGCGGTGGATCCCTACTGGCTTGCAGAGCGGGAGGCTGAGGATGACTTGGTTATAACTGTAGGTCCTTCCATGCAGGCTTGGAGACAGCTTCCTGAGGCTCGGCCCCATGTTCTTTTCCGTCAAGGAATCCAGTCTTCGCCTCATCGGTTTGCAGGGGTTTACCGGCCAAAGCCAAAGCATTCTGGGAAGGCTCCGACTTCCACGCGAAGCAGCGGCAGGAGCAGGAAGAGAGACGGCAGATGGAGTGCGCCCATCTCTAGTTTTCAGCATTCATCTGAGCATGTGAAATCCAAGAGGTACCAGCAGAAGCTTCGAGATGACCTGGAGCGCCAGGCGAAGCAAGAAGAGGCTGCTGGGCGCTCGGCATAGCTCCAACCCGAATCTTTTCCGCTGAGACGTAGGCCCGTAGGCCTGTAGGCATGGTCAAGTAGGGTAAGCAAAACAGGAAGGCTCATTGCAGCTTCCCGGGCCCATCTCAAGAGCCTCTGCTTCTTTCCCGAAGCTGCCAAGGAGGCGCTTGTTCGAAGCGGTGGTCAGGTAGTAGAGCTTGTACCTCAGCTTGGCACACACGCATGGCATCAACACCCGCATGCAGTACATGAAGGGTTTGCCCCGGTCCTTCTTTCCCTTTACGGTCGTAACACCCCGTGTTACGTATTCCCGCCGAATGGCCCCTGAATGTTGGCAATCTGCCGTACGTTACTGTAGCCACCGTTAGTCCATGACCGGCATCTGCGAATCCCTGGCACCGTTAGCACTTTTCTGTGGCCTGTGGCTTCAGGGTGGGTAAGAAGCGCGCGCCACGGGACAACCTCAGGAGCCTGCGGGGCTGTGAGGACTCTGTGAGGTGTCAGCCGCATGCGGTAGCAAGGCTCAGGGAAGCTCACCTTTGCTCAATGGGTGTGACTCTGTGCTGTATCAGTAAACGTGGCACGACACCATGCGTAGAGTAGCAGAAGGCATGTGAAACTCAGTCTAGCCGCTTGGAGAGACCGGATGAAGTAGGGCTTGTGAGCGAACTTTGATTAGCCCTGTAAGTTTCAATTGGGCCGGATTTTTTGGTGTGTTTGTTGTTTGTGTTAGTTAACTCTGCAGTGCGCTCAGCAATGTGGGAAATGCCCAATTTGGACATGTCACATGCCGAACGGCTTGCTGCAATTGCTTGTTGAGGAAGCTCAAAAGCAGTGACGCCATTGAGCAGGAGGAGCGTCCCAAAGGCCAGATTTCGTCCCATTCAGCTTGTGCCACTTCAAGAATTTTAAAGTATTTCAAGTGTTGATATGGCAAGTTGCTGCACGCAAAAAAGCGTGCTCCCAAGATTCACAGGCACTCTTCCCGTGGTAAGGATATGTACAGATCCCATTGTTCTTGCCTGTGCTCTGTTCTTGGGAGCGTCGCACTTGCAGGCAAGGTTTCCGGCCCCTCTGTCGTGGGCAATGACTCTGACTCTGACAGCCTGGGCCGTGTTGACGCTTTCTGGCTTTTGTTTTGATATGCAACCATCCTTTCAGCGATACTGCGCACGAGCATCTCCTGTTATCTGCGAAATTGTCTGAGTTGTCCTGGTGCTGACGTGATGAGTGAGGTGCAGCCGCTAAACGCCGGCGGGCAGCAGGACAAGTCTCGGGAGTCAGCATGGTGATGCGAAGCAGTTTCTTCACATTTGTGTGTATGGCGGATTTTGCGCAGCTTCTAACCGTGGGACACCTGGTTGCGGCCAAGGACGCAAGCCGCGAGTGCCGGGCCCAGACCTTTGTGCCTTTTGGAAATTATTGTTCACATTGCTGTTTGTTTCCATGCTGGTGGCTAGATTTCTCGTTTTTGTGCTTGGTCTGGTTTTGGTGCTCGCTACATTGCAAACCAAGTAGCAGAAAAGCTATAGCCCCAAAGCCGTAAAGACAAATCACATTCATGGCCACCACCAGGGCCATTCAGGACCTACAAACTCTTCGGACTATGAGCAGCCAACCAGCAAAATCAATTCAATTTTGCCTGCGCGCGGACGCTTCACACCACATCCTGCAGTCAACATACCGAGTGCAGGGCCACGCGTGCGTACAAGTACTTTGAGCTTGGAAGGTGCGCTCCGCGTGGGCTGCCGCTGGTTGACATCAGACGTTTGGAGCTCGACATGCCGCTGCCTCGAGTCTTTGCTTGCCAGGTTGGCTGTTATGATGACGCGCTGTCTGCCTGGCCAGCTCTCTTGGAACTACTCGAATCCGTAGTATTCCTCACCTATCCCCACCGTGTTGGGAGTTTGGGTGCGTATCTTACATGATTGTGTGGGTCCATCAGCATAACGGTGCCAATCTGAACCTCCCTTCCAGTGACAGCAAACTGGCAGTCACCGTGTTGGCGACTGCTTCTTGACTCGCAGTCATGGCCCTGAATCTTCTACTCTTGTCGTATATAATATACCGCACCCATACAGCTCAATCTTGCTTGCTGGCCTGCTATTTGTCGTGAGGTTGTTGGCCACGGCGTTCGCGTGAGAAGCAGCGCGCGTGCTGAACCAGTCAAGATGCGCTGCGGGCCATCTGTAGTTCGATTCGGCACGTGATCGCACTTGCTTCGCTCGGCGTCTCACCCGGAAAGCATCACATGCTCAGGCCTTTCCAAGGAGTTCGACACGAGTAACTCAACAGCCAATGCTTCACTCCCAGAGACGCTTTCGCAAGCCAATCCGAACAGCATCTTGAAAAGCATGCTTGAGCAGAAGTGTGCGAAGCAGAGCGAAACAGCAAGATGCAAGCGGGAGGGGGGCGCCAATTTAATTAGGTACTTGCTCCTACCATGTTCAACACCATGGCGCAAACTTTGTATTTGCCACCAGCGTTCCTTTGCGAAGCAAATATTGTAATTAGTTAGGGGGCGGATTGAACGAGCTAATTAGGTCAAGTTCTTAAGAGCAACGTGCAGGTGCATTCGAGATCATGTGGTCCTGTATTGAAAGGAGGGTCCTCGGATTCAAAATACTGCATGTAGACCGTGATGATGGAAGTCGTTGCTCACACATATCACTATACACAGATCCACAAAAAGGCGCATGTCCACAGACCGAATTGCAGCACAGACCGTCGCGGCCGGTATGTCCATGCAAGGCTGCCCAGAGGAAGAGCTGGGAAGGAGACACGAACGCACCAAGACATTGCTAGCCTAACTGCGCCACAGGTCTTCACGAGCAGCAGGTCAGCAGGCAATTCCAGCGAGAGAAGCTTCCTGAAGTGATGAAAGCCTGTGGTCGCAGCTCGAATGCCTTGCCCTCGGAGCCATGGGTCTTGCGACGGCCAAAACTGGTCTTGGCCTGGTTGTTCTGCCGCGCCCCGCCTTGGCAACGCTTTGATGCGATCCTTTTGGGGCAGAAGGCCGCTGGGGTCAGACTCCACACACAGAATCGCACAGACACACACAAGCTCAGCCGCAGTTCTGCAGTAAGAATGAGTAAGCGGCGTGCAGGAGCATTCAGCAAACTTTTGATAGAGCTTGACTTCTCAAAATATCAACAGGCAACCTGCGTCCTGCTGGCGGGGTTGCGAACAGTATCAATGTCTCACCCAGGCCGCCTTGTCTTTTGCGTTTGATGTTTTATGAGATGCAAATGGTGCTGTCTTGGTAGAGGTCGGAGAAATCAGAAGCATTTTGAGATTCCTTGTTTCGGGTAGACTGAGAGTTCCCATCCACTCAATTTGTCTCTTCTGGTTGCAGGCTCACCATGCTGGCGCAATGGCTACGGCATTTTTGGCCACAGCTGTTGGTGAGATCGGGTTGGCAAGGTAAATCCTGGCTGGCATCATTGAAATTTAAAATCTTGACGCAGCAGCTTGCTAGCAGCTAGCACGTACATTTTCTACGAAACATCTTTGACAAGCACGTTATGAAGTTTGTAGCTTAAGAGGATGAGGCAGCGTGAATGCATGAGACAATGCCAAGTCTAGCCGGTAACATCCGTGCTGAAGCAGAGCCACGGCCACAAAGGTTACAGAGACCCTGATGGACCATTTCCTCAAGCATTTCCCGGACACAGGCGCCAGTGCAAGTGTACTTGTTGGCCAGGAAAATGGCAAAATTGGTGCAGACAAAAACAGGCGATTCTCATTCTGTGTGCGGCTCGAGTCAGCTAGGCATTTACAGGTGACCCTGTCAAGCTAGCACCGGC